GCTGCTGCACCTCCCTCCGCAGGGGGGGCGCCGACGAGGTAGCAGCATTTCCCAGGCGGGATCATGGCCGCGCCTTTGGTGAACAGCCCTGGCTTCACGGGCGTCAAGCCCTTCTGCGTCCAGCGGACGAACCACGCGACATGCACTGTCTGGCTGGTGCCCCACAGGTCCCAGCTCAGCTTGGCGGCGATGTTCCCAATGGAGATGTCCGGGGACGACTCCGCGAGGAGGAAGCCGATCTTGTGGGTGCTGGCGAAGGTGAGTTTGCTCGGGTCCTCCTCGTTGACCTTCATGGAGTGGTAGACGACGGCCGCCATCGGGTTGGTCTTGCGCATGTCCGATATGACTTTGCCGATGGGCTGGGCGATGTTGTTCAGGCAGACCACGTCGGCCTCTGAAGTGAGCTTGAAGGGGTACTGGTCCTTGGGGATGTCATCAGATCCTTTGGTCAGCTTGAAGCTGCCCTTTCCGAAACCGCCCATCGGCTCCTGGCTGTTCACCGCAATGTCCTTCTCACCTTTGTTGTGCAAAATCGCGATGTTCCCTGCGCGAATCTGGAACTGCAAGGCAGTCTGCTTTCCTACGCCGCACTCGAACAGCAACGCGCCCCTGACTATGGAGTTGGGGACGATCATCGAGGTGCTCAGCTTCTGCTTCTTCAGGGGGGGCTCGTCTGCGGTCTGCGAGGTCCTCTTAGCCCCCTTGCCCTTGCCGTCGTCAGTACCGCCAGGCTTCTTCTCCTCCTCCTCGGCGGCGTCCTCCTGCACAGAGTACTTCTCGGAGAACTTGTCGATCCATTCCTTGAACTCCTTGCCGCAGGTCGTGTCTGAGATCCACTGCTTCATCAGGGTGGCAGGCATCCGGAGCTGGTCCTTGTCTTCTCCAACGAGGATCAGCCTGTTCATCTGCGGGCGCGGCGGTAGCGGGTCCAGGATGTCCTCGGAGCATTCGCGCAACTTCATGCCTCCAGGTATTGGCAGCTGACCTGTCTCGCACTGGTTGGACATGTACTCCTGGACATGCTTCTCGACCCAATCCAGCTCAGATTGATCCTCGCACACTCCGAAATAGAGCTTGCCCACGTCGTGCGAAGTACGGCTCGCCAGAAATCCATGGAGCAGATCCCCGAACTTCGTGTAGAGGTCGATCACCAGTACAGCCTTGGTCTTCGCTGTGTTGGCGCCGCTCATGATAGAGGCGATCAAGGCCTGACCGCCCTCCGGGCCGATCTGCGCGTACTTCGGCGCCCCATGAATCAACGTCTTACGGGCGTCGGTCGTCGGGGGCAGCGCGTCTGGCGACATGTCCTGGCGAGGGGTGCCATGGTGTTATCCCCTCGCCCATTATCCCCCCTGTCTTCAGGTCCTGTTCAGTCTTTCAGGACCTGGGCCCCAAATTCTCAAATCTCCCGCGGCTTCCCGCAGCGCCCCGCGTGATTTTTTCGGGCCCAAAACGGGCCAAGAGGGCTAAGACGGCCCAAGAAGGCCTTGGTACACCCGAAGATCGCCCCGAAGCGCCCAAGATGGCTCCAAGACGGCCCAAGAAGCTTCCAAGACGCCCCAAGAGGCCTCCCAAGAGGGCGCCAAGAAACCCAAAGCATTAGTTTCCCTATTGGTTTTGAAAGATTTCGGCATGCTCGCCTTTTCGGGCTTCCGACGCTCCAAGACAGCCCAAGAGGCCCCCAAGAGGGCCCCAAGACGGCCCCAGAGGCACCCAAGAGGGCCCCAATATAGCCCAGGAGGCCCTCAAGACGGCCCAAAGCGGCTCCGAGACAGCTCCCAAAGTGGCCCAGAGGGGGGCGCGAAAGGAAAATCTGATCTTTCCGCCCCCAGAAGCCACAAGAGCCCTCACTCCTGGATTCCACCGCTCGCATGATGGACAACAAAAAGGGAACATTGAATCACCTTTTTTACAAAGTTGTTAACGCCCGCAAACGCACGGCAATTAACAAACACGTGTTGCACGATTTTGGGAGGAGGGCAGGTAAGCCCGTCAGCGCATGTAACATGTTTTGTTGTTTGTTTTAATGTGTGTTTCAATTGTTGTTTCGACTGTTACTTTGGATTGTGTTTGAATATTGTTGTATGTTTGTTTCAATGTTCGTTTTATGCTTGTTTCAATTTCTGTTTTATTTTTTTTTGGGTTTGGAATTCGGTTTGATTGTTTGTTTGGGTTTTTGATTGTGTTTTGTTATATGTTGTGTTTGATTTGTTGTTTGAAGTTTGGTTTGGTTGTTTGTTTGATTTTGTGTTAGCTTTTTTGTTTGAAGTTGTGTTTGACGTGTTGCTTGGATGTTCACTTGCTTTTTGTTTGTGGTTTGTTTGCTTTTTTGTTTAGATGTTTATTCGAAGTTTTGCCCGACGATTTGTCTCTTGAAAACGGAACAGACACGCACAACAGGAAACGAAAAGGGGTGCAAAAATGGCGACACAACATTGGAAACACAAAACACAAAAAAAAAAAAACATAAACATAAACAATAATACTACAAACTTCCCCCACTAATAAATGCATGTAATGTCATTTTTGTTTGCCTTTTTGTCACCGAATGTGTTTTTTGTTTAATGTGTCTCATTTTTTGTTCGATTTTTTTTGTTTGAATTATTGTGTGGGTTTTTGCTGTATTTTTTTGTTTGAACTATTGTTTGGATTTGTGTTTGAATTTTGTTTGTTTTTTTTTTTTATCTGATCTGGTGTTTGAATGTTTGTTTGATTTTTTGTTTGAATATTTGTTTGATTTTTTGTTTGATTGTTGGTTTTGGTTTTTGTTTGGATTTTCGCTTGAAGTTGTGTTTGAATTGGTGTTTGATGTTTTGTCCGAATGTTTGTTTGACTTGCTGTTTGAAGTGTTTGCTTTGATGTTGTTTTGATGTTTGTTTTGGTGTGTTTGAATGTCTGTTTGATTTTTTGTTTATTGTTTGTTTTGGTTTTATGTCCAGACGTTTGATTCAGGGATGCAGCACTCAATCACAGGATACCTCCGGGGTGGTGATTGGAACTCCAGGCCACAAAAGAGGCTTCAAGAGACCCCCTCGCGGCCCCCAAGTGCCCCCGAAAGGCCTGCGAGAAGCTTCCCCGCAAGATCCCAACGAACATCCAAGAGGCCGCATACCCACAACCCAGACACGGTGACAGGATGGGCCGAAGGCCATTAGCTATCATAACATCAATATTGCGTTGCGTCATTATCGCATAATCCCCCGCCATCCCTCTATCACTGCCTCGTCTCCTTACCCCTCCATCCTTGCCTTGTAGAACGCGCGCTCACATCAATCCCCCCGCACATCCCCCCTCCATTCCCCCCGCCCCCCTCTCACAGGCAGGAGGCCCCAGGTAACGGCTTCGCCTGACTTCGCCCGCGGCAGGGCAGGGGGCCGCCACCCGGAAGGGGGGGGGGGAGGGAGGGAAGAGGGAGAGGGAGGTGCAGGAGGTTAGGAGGAGGAGGAGGAGGAGGAGGATAATGAGGAGGGTAGGAGGAGAAGAGGAGGCGTAGGAGGTGGAGTGGAGGAGGCGGTGAGGAGGTTTTGAGTTTCGTTTTGATCGGTACAGCTGCCAAAGGGCATTGGGCCCCAAAATATCGAAACTTGCGCGAACCCCCGAAGGCTTCACAGCATTCTGCACCCCTGGGGGCTAGACAAACAACATGATCAATAGTTGTTCGATGGTCTTGCGGCATCAAGGCTGCCAAACGCTGCTAAACTATGATCCTGAGGGCTGCAGAGTGCGGCAACATTCAGGTTTGGTTTCCCTGGCGCTTGTGTCTGTAAGGCTACCCAAAGGGGCGCTGGATGGGACCCTGTACTCGGGGTCTGTTTGAACGCCCCCAAGTGAGCCCCAAGAGGGACCCAAAAGAGCCCGAGAGGGCTCCAAGGGGCCCTCTTGAGGCTCCACAAGGGGCCCCTGGGTAGGGCGCAACATAAGTGGCACTCGGGGTCTGAGTCCTCGGGTCTTATAGTCTTAAGGTGCTAGGTACTCAGGTCTTAGGGCCACAGGGTGCTAGGGTCTTAAGGTATCCGGCTTAGCTTAGAGTATTAGTGCCCTATGGTCTTAGGGCCTTAGGGCTGTAGGGCGCTAAAGTCTTAGGGCACTGCGGATGTCGGCCACCTCCAGGGCCTCTTTTGGAGCCCCGGAACAGCGCCGAGAGAATTCCAAGGGGCCCCCTTGAGGGCCACCAAGGTCGCCTTAAAATCGCCCCGAGTTTCAGGTGACCCTGCTGGGCCCCTCTTGGGCCCCTTTTGGATGTCCTGGCCTCCTAACAAGGCAGGAGGAGGGGGATAAGGAGGAGGAGGAGGAGGAGGAGGAGGAGGAGGATGACGACGAGTTGGAACAGCCGCGGGTCCTCGATCATCTTGAGCCTACCAGACGGCAGCTGCTTGACTTTGTCGGTGCTGCGGTTGCGCCTGAGCTCGCAGTTGTAGAACATGTGCTTGTGGGGCTCCACTGGGCTAGGGAGCACAAGGCGACATGGGTAGAGCAGCGGGCGCTCGTCCCGGGTGTCAGCTGGGCCCTTGAAGGCGATAGCGCAGGTCATGTCGAGATTGTGGTTCCCTTCGCCCAGCTGCTCGAGCATCTTGGTCTCCTCGAGGTGCAGCTTCCCTTTCGTGTACCCGAAAATCGGGCTCATGACAAGAGCGACGCTGTCCATGCAGTCCGACAGGGCCCAGGTCAGCACGCTCATTTGGGCCGCCTGGTACGACAGCGGCACCGTGCAAGGCGCCGTCCAGTTGAGCACCACCACGTTGGGGATGTCCGCCACATTGCCGCCAAGCTTGGAGCGGATGCCATCGCGTTTCCAATCCATGATATCAGATATGAGCTTCTCGCCGTCCTTGGCGGTGACGAGCTTCATCGCGTTCGTCATCATGGAGCTCGCCGCCGCGTCGCACTGATCCTTGCGCGCCAGCCTTACCTCCTACAGGGGGGCACTTGGAAGTCTATGTCAGCGCGCAGGGGAGGGTTAAAGCTAAGAGGGCCAGGGTAATCCAGGGGTGAAACCGCAGCTACTGGGGGTGGGGATAGTACAACCTGATAAAAGGGTTAAGACATTGAGGGCTGAACCAAAGAGGGGGCTGCTGGAGCACAGCATTGGTGAAACCACTGTCCTGCTCCTTGAAGAAGCGCGCGCCCTTGACCGTCTGGCACTTCCGCTGCCAGGTCTGATAAACACTCACATCGTAGTCCAGCTGCTTGATCAGCAGGGCGAACTCGTCCACTTTAAGCTTCGCCGACTCCTCGACGCCGACCACCAGCGGCGCGCTCTGCAGGTGCTGGTCGAGGATCCTCTTGAACGTCGGGATGTGCTTGGTCGGGTCGAACTGCTCGTGCTGCTCCATCACAGCTGCCTGGACCTCCATGTCCACCTGGTGGGAACCCCTCTCCCACGCGTGCGTCCACTCCTCCAGCGCATCTTTCTGGGGAACAGGCACTTGGGATAAAAACAAGTCCGCGAGGCCCAAGACAGCCGCTGCGCGCAGGGAATAGTTCTCCAATTGCGAGGCCTCTAGCTTCTTGCGCAAGTGCTTCGGGCTCCGGGTGTGCGCGCCTTGCAGCCTCTCAATGCATAACTGCGTGCTGGCATCGGTGGTGCGGAGCATCGGGGCCCAGGTCTTGTTCTTGGCGGGGAACGCAAACCCTGGGTACAGTTTACGATTGGCGAGGTTGTCGTCCGACCACATGCAGCCCTCCCACGTGAGCTCCTCGCGGCAACAATTATGGGGTGATCGCACTCAGCGTGAGCCCTCAAAAAACAGAAACCCATTGGAAACCGTTTCCTAAATGAGGGGGGGAAGGAGGAGGAGGGGGAGGAGGAGGAGGAGGAGAAGGGGAAGGAGGAGGAGGAGGAGGAGGAAGGGGAGGGGGAGGGGGAGGGAGAGGAGGAGGGGGGCATGTAGGAGGGGGAGGGGGGAGGGGGGGGAGGAGGAGGAGGGGGAGGAGGAGGAGAAATAGGAAAGGAGGTAATGGAGGAGACGGTGGTCCAAGTGGAGTTTCCCTAGGGCCTCGAAGATCCTAAAAAAATCCTCCGCCCTGGGTTGGCCCCGATCCTCAGCGTGGGCGAGGATGCTCTCCAAGGGCGCCCTCGGGAGAGACTCGAACAGCAAGCGTAGAGACGCCGCCCTCTTACCTGTGATCTTGCTGCTCTGCCCGCTCCGGGCGTGATGTTTGCTCACGAAGGTAGAGATACTGCGCGCCCCTGCCTTCTGCAAGTTGGCGACGATCACCGCTACCTGCAGCACGTTGTTCGCGGTCCTGATGCTGCCTCGAACTGACATCTTCATGTTCATGAGCGCGTCTTCGAGCATGCCCTTGCCCCGGAGGCGGATTACTTTGATGTCGCGCACACTCTGGAACAGGACTGGGTTGTTCGCGTAAAGGTCCACGCCTTCCTTCTTGATGAACAGGAGCAACGCCAGCAGCGTTGTGGCCCGGGCGTGCCCCTCGACGTACCCGAGGCTACGCGGCGAGAGCGCGCTGCCTCCCAACACCCCCCATGGCGGCGGGCACGTGTTCTTCAGGCCGTCGGGCAGGTTGATGGTCGGCGGCTCTGTCGTCGTAATGAAGCCGTCGAGCAGGAACTGCTCCAGGAGCTGCGTGCTCTTGGCCTTCCCGGGCGGGGGTTTCAGAGAAGAGCTTTCCTCGTACCCCAGTGTGCAAACATGCGCAGACATGAAGCAGCTTGGGTTCACATCGCGCTCTGTCTCCGCGAGCTCCATGTTGGTCGTGTGCTGGTAGAAGATGTCGTCCTTCTCGACGAAGGTGGACCACAACCACATGTTGAACTCGTCTTTCTTCTCGCAAGTGTCGAGCTCCTTCGGCAGGAACTGGCGGGGGCCGCCCACATCGGAGAAAATGTTACTGAAGGCGTCTTGGATCGCCTCGTTGAACTGCTGTAGGGGCGTCGCATCGCTCTCCGCATCCATCTGATATTGATGGCCTTGGTCGCGTTCTCCACCTTCACCGTGAAGATCATGATCAGCCTGCTGAGCGTCCTGCTGACCGCCCTCAGGCCCACTGATCACGTGGAAGCCATGCGCATTCATCACAAGTTCAGCCATCCTAACTTCTCGAACTCGCAGTAGTTTTTGCGCAGGGTTTAAAGAGGCACGTACAGCACAGACGTGCTATGAGCCACAACTTCTGATTCTCCGGAGGATGGAGCAGGGGGGCAGGGGGGCAGGGGGGGGGCAGGGGAAGGAGGGATAGCTGGGGGAGCAGGGGGGGGCAAACGAAGAGGGCAATGATGCAGGGAGGCTAAGACGAGGGGGTCCTGCACAACGACCCCCTCCGCCGCGAGATGCCGCGACCTCCTGGAAAAAGATTTTTCCAGGAGGTGCCCCTGGCGCTGCAATGATCCAGCGGATCCCACGATGGCCCAGCAGGGCGGCCAACGCGCTGGATCATTGCAAATGCCTGAGACACCTCCTGGAATCATTTTGTTCCTGCGGGCGCGGGGGTCTCTCATCTTAAACGCGTGTTGCGCTGGATGGGCGCTCGCCTTCCGAGGTCAATGTTTTTCTGTCAAGGCTTTGCGCCGGGGGAGATCTCCTGGAAAAAACTGTTTCCAGCACAACGGACCCGGCCCGACCGGCTTGACAAGAAAAAATCGAGGCGCTGAAACCTGGTAGATCGATGCGCTGGGTGATGCGCTGGGTCATGGGCGGTCGATGTGCTGGATCCTGGGCGGTCAATGTGCTGCGCTGGATCCCAGGCGGCCGATGTGCTGGATCCTTGGCGGTAGCGGGCTGGGTCTTGGGCGGCCAGGAGGAGGAGGCCTCAATATGGCCCCAAGATGGCCCAAGAGAGCCCAAGAGGGCCCTAAGAGTGCCCCAAGAGTGCCCAAGAGCGCCCCAAGAGCGCCCCAAGAGGGCCCCAAGAGGGCCTTCTTGAGCATACGGGGTTGGGGGAGGGGAGGGATAAGTACCCCCCTCTGTTGAACCATCGGCCCAAGACGGCCCCAAGAGACCTCTCATACCAAGAGGGCCCCAAGATGGCCCCAAAAGAGCCCCAAGAGGACCCCAAGAGGACCCCCAGAGAGCCCCAAGATGGCCCCAAGAGACCCCCGAGAACCTCCCACGGCAACACCTCAACTCGCCTGGGCATCGCTGCTGGGGCTGGCGGGGACAACGCGAAGCGTCAAGAATTTCACCTATTTTAGGTGGGACCGGGGACTCTAGCGGCTACTACAGCGGCAGGGCAAGGTGCAAAGCTGCAATTGCTCAAGGGTGCAGGGATGCAAGGCCCTTTGCGGTGGTGTTTCCTTTTTACCAGAGCCAGTCTGCGGCGACAGGCGTTCGCACGTCGCGAGTGTAACAACTCGCCGACACAGAGCAGGAGCAGACACTGAGAAGTTCCTAAAGGATGTGCACAACCGCATTCCACGACCAAGATATTTGAAGCATCTCGCACGTCGAAGTGAAAAGAGACAAGATCAATCACATACCATGGAAACATCTCCCACGCCGAAGTGATACGATCAACCACAGACCATAACCCATATGGAAATGCACTGGTTCCATTATCGCAATGTATCTGCTATCCAACGCATCCATGCCGCAATCAATCGCGGGCCTGGGTGGCCTTGATCTCAGTGACGGGGGCGGGGCACGGTCTCAATCAGGATCTCAGGCGTGGTGGGCGCGGGGCCAAGATGAACGGCAGCAGTTGCCTGCGTTGGCCCATCGGTCGGCGTCGGCAGCAGCGGCGTCTCCAGCGAGTGCGGAGCTGACGCAGACGCTGCGCCCGACTCAGGCGACTCAGGCTTAGGCTGGACCTTCTGCCTCTTGGCGGCGGGCTGGCCACAAACATCGGTGATACTTTCAAACGAACGCACATTGACTTTGACCGGAATCTGCAACATCAGCGTAGTGTCCTTGTGGAACCCAGCAGGCAACTCCTTTACGTTGATGGTGATAAGTGGCCCTTGAGTTGGAAAGTGATGAATGGCCCCATGTTCACGGGCCAACGACATGCGGCGAACACAGAGAAGCCGAATCACGCAATAATGTACAATATGCGGAGGGTGCTCAAAAGCTCGAGGGGCAAACACCACTACGTAAGCACATAAAGACTTGGACCCCAAAGCGCCGAGGTCTGTGCGACCCCATCCCCTTGCCCCCAAACGCACACAGCGCTAAAGCCCAAAGAGCCCAAATCGCCCCACACTCACAATAACGACAAGCCTGAAGCGCGCCAAGAGGCTCCCAAGACGGCCCAAGACGCCTCCCAAACTGCCCCAATCCATAGGAAAATGGGGGGGGGCTGGCGACCCCAAAAAACACAAGGGAAAAACGCAACGTGCAAGAGGCCACCAAAATCGCTCCACGACGGCCCAGAGAGGGGCCCAAGAGGGCCCGAAAAACACCCCGCAGAACGCCAAGCCATTTCAAGAGGCCTCCAAGACGCCTCCAAGACGGCCCCAATCCATGGGAAAATGGGTGGGGAGGCTGGCGACCCCAAAAAACCATAAGGAAATGCAACGTGCAAGAGGCCATCTTGGGGCACTCTTGGGGCTCCCTGGAAGCTTCCTGGGAGCCTCTTGGAGTCCTCTTGGGGGCCTCTTGGGGGCTTCTTTGGCCATTTCGGAAACCGTCAGAAGCTGTCCTGGGGGCCTGTCTGGGTCGTCTTGGGGCCTTCTTGGGACTTCAGGGCCGTCTTGGAGGCCATCTTGGGCGTCTTGGAGGCTTCTTGGGCCGTTTGGGGGGGCTCTTGGGCAATCTTGGGGCGATCTTGGGGGCCTCTTGGGCAGTCTTGGGCAGTCGAGAGGCCGAAAAGGCGCAAATGGGAAGTCTGGTTATGTTGCAAACAACCAGGGGGGAGGCTGGCGACCCCAAAAAACACAATGTAAATGCAATGTGCAAGAGGCCACCAATATCGCTCTAAGACAGCCTAAGAGGGGCCCAAGAGGGGCCCTGGAGGGCGCAAAGACAGCTCAATGAGGCCCCCAAGACGGCCCAAGACGCCTCCAAGACGGCCCCAATCCATGGGAAAATCGGGGGGAGGCTGGCGACCCCAAACAACACCTCAAGAGGCTCCCAAGATGGCCCAAACTGCTCCAATCCATCACTCTTATCCGCGACTGCGGGGTGCTGATATAATGGATGGTATCGACATATAGCAGCATTGAGAATCTCTTGCGATCGTTGATCATGCCCTAGAGCGAGGCGCAAAACTGCACACAGGGACATTGCTATTTATGGTGTGGCCCCCAGCAAGCTGGGGACGACACGCCTTGCGCGTGTCCTCAAAGTGTGCCCGGAACAGAATGCTCTATCAGTTGTCCTGCCGCTGTCTAGATTGCCCCCCCATCCTGCCGCTCCCTCCCCCTTCCAACCCTGCCATTCCTCCTTCCTCTCATCCCTCCCACATGTCAGGCCCTGTGCTCAGGGGGCCACATCCTGGGGGCCACCACCTCACGCCGCCACCTCCCTGTAGATGTAATTGTTGATCAGGTTAATCTTGTAGCCCTTCTGCCCGTTGGCGGCCCACTTGCGGCACACGAGGCAGCCTGGTGGACAGGGGGGAGACGCCCCTCCCCCTCCCCCTCCTCCCCCCATCCCCCATCCTCATCCTTCTCCCCCTTCTGCCCGCCTCCACCTACCCTCCTCCTTATCCTTCTCCTCCCCCTGGGCCTTACTCGCCCATCCCCCTGCCCCCCTCCCCCGCCTCCCCCGCCTCCTCCTCGCCTGTCTTGAGGGGGAGGAGGAGTATGGGGGAGAAGGAGAAGGGGGAGGGAGGGGAAGGGGGAGGAGGAGGAGGAGGAGTGAAAGGAGAGTGAGTAGCCAGATTTAGCACCCCCTTAGAGCGCCTCTCTTCGCCCAACGGCACTTCGAGCAGCCGTAGACGATGCCAGCGGGGCCAGCCTGCGTGAGGGAGGTTGGAGGGGGATGGGGGAGGAGGTAGATGAAAAGTGCAGCGGCGAGATGGAAGGGGAAGGAACAAGCATGAGCAGGAGAAAACGAAATTGGAGGAAGACCCGATGGCTCAAGGATGGATGGGCTCAAGATGTAATGGGCTCAAGTTGTAAAGCATCGCAGCCTCTGCTGCTGGCAGCGCCGCCTCCAGGGCACCAGGCGTCGCAGCCTCTGCCGCTGGCGCCGCCGCCTCAGCCTCTGCCGCTGGCGGCGCTGCCTCGGCACCAGGCTCATAGCCCTCGTCCAGGGCGTCTTCCTCCTCCTGCTCCTCTTCCTGATCCTCCTCTTCCACCTCCTCGCCGAGCTCGTCGGCCTCGCCGTCCATCGGGGCGGCGGCCGCTGGCTTCTTCTGCGCAGCGGGCTTCTTCGTCAAGACCTTGGCCTTCTTCTTGGGAGCAGCTTTGGGCTTGGGCGCCGCCGCAGGGCGCTTCATACAGCCCTTCTGGAGCTTGCGAGCCCTCTCGGCTGCGGTAAGCGGGCCCACACGCACCTCGCGGGGCACTGCCACCTTCGCGCCCTCCTGGATGGTATTCTTCATGTGCGGTGGCACGTTGGTATCTGGGTTCTTCAGGTCTGGCATCGAGTACTCGAAGATGAAGTGCAGCGGCTCTGGCTCCACGCCCCACCCTTGATCCTGCGCGTCGCACAGCTTGGTGAGGTACTGCTGCCCCTTCACGAGATTCCATGGGGGCTTGGCGATGGCATCGGCCGTCTTGCGGAACTCTTTGATCTGCTCATCCTTGAAGATACGAGCTGGGGCGATCTGCAGCTTGGACGGGTCGATCTTGTTGGCCACGCTCTCAGGCAGCAGCAGCAGGGGCGCCTGGCTGAACTGGGTATCGTGCATAGATTCCTTCAAGAGG